CTCATGATGACCATGGTCCCCTGCTGATTGTTGGAAAAATCTACCTGGTTCACTAATGTCCTTTAGGGAAGGAAACTGCTGCTCTTGCCTGAGCTGAACTACACATGAATCCAGACCCACAGCAATGTGGTTGATGCTTAACTGCACTGTTGCCAATCAGAGATGGGCAACAAATGTTGGCTTAGCAAGTGACATCCTCATCCATGAATAAATGAGTTAAAAAAAATTCTTCTACCTTGATTTTGCATCCTTTTATCCTCATGTCTATTAATTTCAGATTTGCAATTATTAAGGGACCTAGAATTCACATTTTACATCAATTCTACATTTCTACCATCCTTTGTATCAATTAGTATTATTTCAATGTCTGTCTTGAATATTTTGATTTTATTTTTAATTTTATGGCCCTGGTATCTTGAGTCTTGATAAAGTTTCTTTCCATCTACCCTTTCAGTTCTGTTCAAAATCCTAAAAACCTTAGTCCTCAACCTCTGATATCCCAAGCAGTACAAAGCCTTTTTGTGTAACCTTAACAGAATCCTTAACAGTTTGGTGGCTCTGCAATTCATTCCTTCTGATATCTGTCTACACTTTTTGAGATGCAGTCCCAGAACTGCACACAGTAGTCCGGATGTCAGGGCTTTGTTGAGTAGAGTCAAAACTCGCTCTTTCATGCATTCTTGCCCGCTTGTTAAAAAGGCTAATACATGATGAACCCTTTTGATTACGTTTTGTATCCAACTGCTACTCTTTAGTGTGCATGGAACCTAAAGCTCTTTGAATCTCCTTTTGCCACCACTTCAGCAATGGAGCAACTGAACACCTTGAAAACTTTCAGTGCATTAGAGAGAGCCAGCATGGATTTGTGTCAAGCCTGGCAAACATCACAGAAATTTTTTTTTGAAGTAGTCTTGAAGGTAGTGGTAAGAGTAATGTTGATAGATGTTGTTTATATGGATTCCCAGGAGGCCCTTGATAAACAGCCACATATGACAGGCTGTTTACTCAAGTGAAGATCCGCGGAAATGAGGGCAAATTACTGACAAAAAAACTGGGAAATTGGTTGAGTGACAAGTGACAGAAAGTAGGAATAATGGGTAGGTACTCAAATTGGCAAGATGTGACCAGTGGTGTCTCACAAGGATCTGTATTTGGCCCTCAATTATTAACATTATTTATTAACAACTTGGATAATGGCTTAGAAAGTCATATATCCAAATTTGCTGATGACACCAAGTTAGGCAGAATTGGATATCCTTTTCTAATTTTATGCAAAGTGAATGGGCAACTGTGGCAAATGGACTTCAACGTAATTAAGTGTGAGGTTATCTATTTTGGATGAAGAAAGGATAGATTGATATGGATTTTTAAAATGCCAAGAACAGATACAGAAAAAAAATCAAGAAGGCTAATGAAATGCAGACCTTCATATCCAGAGGATGGAAGTATAAAGACACAAGTTATGCTGCAGTTTGACCGCACCAAATACTGTGAGCAGATCAGGCCACCTCACCTTAGGAAGGATATATTGGCCTTGGAGGAGGCACAACATTGGTTTACAAGAATGAAACCTAGCTCAAATCAGTGGTTAGGAGTGTTAATTATCAGTGGTAATTATATAAATTAGGCTTATTTTCTCTATAATTTTGAGGGTTAAACAGGTCCACAATTTGCTTGAAGTGGCAACAGAAGTGGATAAATGTGTCAAGGTGGTGTCTGGTATGCTTGCCTCCATTCGTCGGGGCATAGAATATTGGCAAGTCATGTTGCAGCTGTACAGTACTTTCTTAGGCCACCTTTGGAATATTGTGTACATTTCTGGTTGCCTCATTTACCATGATGTTGCCTGGTTTGGAGGGTATTAGCTACACAGAGATTAGACAAACTTAAATGACAGAGTTTGAAGGGCGTACTGATAGTTCATAAAGTTATGAGGGGCATGGGTTGAATGGATAGTCAGAGTCGTTTTCCCACGGTAGAAATGTAAATTAGTAGGGGACATAGGTTTAAGGTAAAAGGGGGAAAAATTTAAAGGATTAAGTTTTTTTAACATAGAGGGTGCTAAGTGCCTGCAGTGTACTGCCAGAGGTGGTTAAAAGCAGATATAACTACTAAGTTTAAGCAGCATCTTGACAGATACGTAAATAGGCAGGGAACAGAGGGATACACACTGTGTAGATGCCAAAGGTTTTTAGTTTACAAAGACATGATGTGTCAGTGTAGGCTTGGTGGGCCAGAGGGCCTGTTCCTGTACTGTTCTTTGTTATTTGTTAAGGGTGCTCTGATGGAAGTCCTCAAGATGATAAAAAGGAAAACTCCTTGGTTTAGGATGGGCAGTATCACCTTCCTAGAAACCATCTTCCACACTCCTTGCTGTGAGTCATGAACTATTTTCTTAAACATCTGCCACTGTTCCTCAACTATCTTTTCTGCTAAGCTCCTTTCTCAGTCCACTCCATCTCTCCCCTCATCCTTATGTAATTAGCCTCATTTAAGTTTAGCACAGTTGTTTCTGACTCAAGCTTCTCACCCTCAAACTGAACTTTATTTCTACAACGTAAAGGTTACCGTTTCCTCAGGAATCTCTTACTCCAAGTTCATTTCATAAACCTGTCCATGAGAATCAGATAAAAACATGAGAATCATAACAGTATGAAAAGAAGTGGCCGGGATTGTTCATGTGCTAGTTCAAGTTCTCCAAAAAAATCCTTAAATTCAGGGAAGGTGCCATTATATTGTGAAGTAGCCAATGTACCACCTTTATTCAATAAAGGGAGAAACTTAGAAAGCAGGGATCTAGAGGCTAGTTAGCTGAACATCTAGACATTATTCTGAAAGATAGTACAACAGGACTCTAACTAAAGTTCAACATGCTTTTGTGAAAGTGAAATTGCATTTAACAGAGCTCTCTGGAAGATCAACGCATTGTGAATAAAGGGGACCCGGTGGATATATTGTACTTAGATTTCCAGAAGACATTTAATAAGTTGTCACAAAGGTTACTGTGGAAAATAAAACCTCACGGAGGAGGGGGTTAAAATATTAGCATGGATACGAGACTTGCAAGCTAATAGGAAACAACAGGCAAAAATGACTAATGTGGTCGTTGGCATAATGTTGAGTGGAATGCCACCAGGATCAGTACCAGGACTAGAAATTTCTACTAAATAAAAACGGAAAGAACTGTGGACGCTGTGGATCAGGAACAAAAACAGAAGTTGCTGGAAAAACTCGGAAGGTTTGGCAGCATTTGTGAAGAAAAAAATCAAGAGTTAATGTTTTGGGTCCAGTGATTGAAGGAAGGTTCTGAGGAAGGATCACCAGGCCAGAAACATTAACTCTGGTTTTTTCTTCACAGATGCTGCCAGACCTGCTGAGCATTTCCAGCGACTTTGTTTTTGTTCTTGAAACGTTCACAATTTACATATAAATGACTTAGATGAAGGGGCAGAATACACGGCTACCAAATTTGCTGACAAGCCAAAGCTAGGTGGGAAAGTAAGCTGCTTTAATGACACAAGGGGGCTGAAAAAGGTATACAGATTCATTAAATAGGCAAAGATCTGGCAAATGGATTATAATGTGGAGAAACGGAAAATTATCTATTTTGGCAAGAAGAATAAAAATAACCATCTTATCTAAATGGAGAGAGAGATTGCAGAGCTCCAGGATGCACAGGAATCTGGGTTTCTTAGCACATTCATCGTAAAAGGTTAGTATGTAAGTAACAAGCCCTTATAAAGTCTCATAGAAGGCTACTGTTTATTAGAAGAGGAATTGATCATTCTTCAATTATACAAGACATCCTGAGACCAAATCGGGATTAACATGTACTGGTATCCTTACTGAAAGGAGAAAGTAAGTGCATTGGCAGCAATTCAGAATGTTTATTAGACTCATACCTGGAAGGTGTTTCATGAGGAAAGGTTGGATGGGCATGACTTGAATCTGTTGGCGTTTAAAAATAAGGAACTTGATTGAAAAATAAGGACACAAAGGGTTTTGACAGGGTACACGTGAAAATGATGTTACTTTTTGTGGGAGAATCTGGAACTCAGAATCACTATCTAAAACTAAAATATCACCAAATTAAGGCAGATATTTTTTTCTCATAGGGTTGAGTCTTTGTGACTCTTCCTGAAAAGGCAATGGAATCATAATCTTGCAATATTTTTTAAGACAAGGTGGTAAACAGATGCTTGCTAAGTAAGGAGTAAAATGTCATCAGTAGGCAGGATTCGGAAGCAATCAGATGAGACGTCACCTCACTGAATGGTACAGCAGCTTCCAGGGTCTCAGTGTCCTATTATTGCTCCAAATTTTATGCATTTGTACATTTTCCCCCCCATCTGTAGCTCCTGGACAGATTGACAATAAATTTATTACGTCACTGATTTCAAGTTTTCCTGGTTTGAACAGTTGACGAAGTGCTCCTCTGTTGACAGGTTTAAAATTCTTTTGTAGCTTCCTCTTCTCCTTACTGACTCCACATGCAACATTCTTCATCTCACTAATCTCTTTCCAATGGCCTTGCCCCCACCCCTCATCTGCACCTGCCTTTGTTCCATTTCTACCTTCTATAAACTTAAAACTGCCCTTATTCTAACTTGCACTCAATCCCAGTTATCCAGAAGATAGATTGTATCGATTGATTAGCATTCAAAATCTATACAATCAACACTGCCCAACAAATTTGACAGGAAGAGTATGACAAAACTGAAAGGGTAACATTCGCTGGAAAGATCAACGCAGAAGGAGGATGAAGCAGTCTGGGTACTAATTCAAACGTACTAAGTACTTGGAAAGATCTTTAAACAAAAAAAATCAGAAACTAACTGCAGGTTCATTTTACAGGGAGTCAAACAAACAAATGGGTTGAACGTCTAGAAATAGTCAAGGATTGCAATTGTGCTATAGGCTTGGGAAATGAAAAATGTGAAGAGAGACGAGGGCAACAGAGAGAAACAGTTCTAAATTTAACATGTTATTGTTTTAAATACCTTTTACTCTTGTGTGGGTGTTCAACAGGGGATCTGAAGAAACCATGCAAGCCCACCAAGGGTAGCCAGAAACTTTGGACCACACCATATCCCCTACATGATATTTCACTGGGACATCCTTGTCCTTGGTTGTTTCGCATTTGGCTCCTTCATTGTCTTGATCTTCTTTAGGCTGTTGATATAAATATCATAGATGTACCAGAGAGAACTTAAAACAGTTTTTGTTTTAAACCATGCAAAAATTATTATAGCCAGCTTTGACAAATTTCAAAAACATATTCACCATTTGTGTCAAGTGTATTTTGAGGAGGACAAATTTCTGCAACTAATTTCAAAGTATTGATGCATCAGTTCATACTTAATTTGTTTCATGGATTTTTTATCTTTGGTGTCCAAAACAATGGAGTGGAATTAAATACAGTCAATCTGAAATTGGAAAGTTTGCCTCCATGGTGGGTAACATAAATCGTTTAAAAATAGAGAGAAAAATAAATCACACAAGAGATCTTTTCATGAAACAAACGTATCAATGGTGCAACCTGTTCTCATTAATTTTCTCCTTCTCTTTGCATTCCCCTGTCCCACAGACAAATATACACATTAGATAAAATGAATTGTCCTGTGGCATAAATGTACAAATATAGAATTATTCTGGAGTTCTCCTGGATTACAGTTCAGAATTTAATTATTTCAACAGCAATTGCCCTCAGATTACATGATTGGGACAAAGACAGATTGCACAAGATCTGTGAAAGGAGTAGACTCAAATGAACTGAACAGCCCTTTTTTTCAATGCCCTCTCACAATTTAAAGGTCGTAGAAACTTATTTCGCCTCATTTGTAAATCAGCCAGACTGCTATCTTGGTTGTCATTTTGCCATATAATGATTCAGGCTGGAACTGCAAGGTTTCCAAAAGGCAAGGTGCAAATTAATATTTCATTAGCCAACACCTCCTGATCTGTGGCACTGTAAAATCACTAACTATCTACATCATACTCTCCATTTCAAGCAAATAAATACTTTGACTGCCAACAGCCCTAAAACACAATTAAGGTGTAAAGGAAACAAAATTAAAGTTTAGTCAGGACATTTTTGGCCATTTATTCACCTCCCTGGCCCTCCTCCAAACACATGAAGCCTCATTTTTCTTACGTTTCTTCTCGTTCTCCCTATCACATGATATCAAGTCAGTCTTCCCCAATACAGATCTGATTGGCATTTACAATCTTACTAGACCTGGGGAATTAAGGCTGATTGTTTTAAGTGCTGCAAAAGGCAGCAACAGCACTGAGTAGCATCAGGTGGGTGTGATGGCAAGAGTGAAGATGATGAGCAGAACAGAAATTGTTCTGAATTCAATGTTGGGAATATGGTCATGACTTTCATGTTCTTTGGCTAAGATACTTAAATAAATGTCTCTTGCTGCTTGCTGTTAACATTTAAAAAACTCAATGCTAATTTAGCCATAAGCACAGTTATATTTTAATTACAGGAATGGATACAAGCATTGATGTTTCAGCTTTCCTTAGTCTTAGTAATAGAGTTTTCTTCTTGGATCATACAGAAATGGAGGAGTTCAGACAACCACCGTCACCTCCTCCCATGCTGAAGAATTCTACAGGTGCTTTGATTTATCAACAAGCAGAGCAGCAAGTGGAAGTGCATTTCCTACTTTTTTTTTGCAATGGAAGTAGAAAGATTTAATTTTTACGTATAGATTTCCACATAAAGATTTCCAAAATGGATTAATGCTGAAAGGATATCAATTTCTCTTACGCACTGGATTTTAATTTACCTCACTGGCTTCAATCACTTCAGAGTTTAAAGCTCATCTAATGCCTACTGTGTCATCACTGTTCTTTGCCATAAAAATCCATGCAGTTCACTTATGCCCTTCGGGGGAGCAAGTATGCCATCTTTACCCGGTCTGGCCTACATTTGACTTCAGACCCACAGCAATGTGGTTGACCTGTAACTGCCAATTTGGGATGGACATTTAGATTGTTTGCTTAGGATGTGGGCATCCCTGCCAAAGTAGAAGAAAAAAAAAGTGGAAGGAAGATTTCAAAGGAAGCAAAGAATCCAATTCTTTGATTTCAATATAATAATTCCCATCTCCATCATTGAAAAGCAAAAGTGAAATGAATGAAGACAAAGTGGAAGGGATAGAAACTGACAAGAAAGTGACAATTTTGAGCATACTAAAAAGACAATGAATTTACCAAATTATATTTGCAAGTAAATTCTCTCTGGCAAAACAGGAACCCAACAGGCTAAACAAATAATCAATTAACAACTGTTAAAGGGATTCCGAATTTGGAAATGCAACAACTTGTATTAATATCCAATACTCCAAGCTTCACAGAGGTTTGTCAAAAAAATCATGTCTATTCGCTTACTAGATGAAGACCTGAGATAGATATCTTTGTCAGTATTTTCACAAGGTATCTACTGGCAAAATAACACCAGCAATAAAGGTAAATGACTGTGATTTTAATGCATGCCACAGATCTTTCATAACATTATGTCCCTTTTGTTAATAAACAATGTTGATTCTGAACAACATTAGATTAACACACAATTTGTATTCCTCTCACAAAGTGGCTATGTTACATAAATGGGACAAGAAGAATGCTTGTAGCCAAACTTAAGACACAATTCACCTTTAATCATAAAAAAATTACTAAGTGGTCAATTGAAAATATAATACTGCCAGAAGGTTGATTTGATTTCTAACTTACATTGTTAATTTCAGGTGGCCTGTTGTCAGTGGATACAAGAACAGCAAGCCCTTACCTCCGTGGAAATCAAAGAGAAGAAAAAAAAAATCAGAAAGCAAATTTAAGGAGGAAATCTTATAGAAACAAATACTACAAAAAAAACCTCAAAGATCTGCAGCTGCTGGAAATCAGCAACAAAAATCAGAAACTGTTGGAAAAACTCAGGTCAGGTAACATCCCTGGAGAGAAAGCTTCGTCAAATTTTTAGGTCCAGCCTTCTTCAGAACTGATTGTAGCTAGGAAAAGGTTGATATAGATGCTAGAGAAGGGTGGGGAGAGAGGAAAGAAATAAATGATAGGTGGAGATGGAGCTCAGAGAGAAACAGAAAAGCATTTGGGCAGACAAAAAACGGAGTGGGCAAAGGTCAGTCTGCGAGAAGGAATGGTGGCCAATGGGGATCGTTAGTGGCTGATAATGAGTTGCTTGTGGTAGCAGTCCATATGATAAGGCCTGGTGTGTGGATATTGGGATATGTTACATGGGAGAAGATGCTCAGGCCCTAAAGTGATTGAACTCAATACTGAATCCAAAAGGTCACAGGGCTCCCAAGCTGAAAGTGAGGTGTTGCTCTTCCAAATTGCGCCAAGGTTCACCAGAGCACTGTAGCAAGCCAGGGACAAATCTTGGCTAGGGAATATGGTTGGGTGTGAAATGGCAGGCAACTGGAAGCTCTGAGTCAATTTGCAGACAGAAACAATTACCTCACTGGGTGCTCAAAATCCTCTAAGTGGCTCTGCACTTCCACTTGATCAGGCTTCATTTTGCAACAGGAGAAAATTTAAACAATGCAGTGATAGATCCCAAAACAGATTAACATAATGGATCAGAAGGAATTCACGCAGACATTCAGAAAAATCATTACCAAAATGAAAATACGACCAACTTGACTGAAAACTGTTCATCAGTTTTACAATTACAATGTTTAAAAGACATTGAGATAAGTACATGAATAGGAAAGGTTTGAAGGGATATGGACCAGGAGCAGACAGGTAGGACTAGTTTAGTTTGCGATTATGTTCAGCATGGACTGGTTGGACTGAAGGGTTTGTTCCCATGCTCTATGACTATGACAAACTCTTCTCGTTCAAATCTCATACCTTTGTAATGCAAAACTTTTAATCCTGTTTAAGAGCATAAACGCTTTGTTCTATGAAGGACTGAGTAGGTGTGAGGTGACCAGCCTTCAAATAAAAAGATGGCTCCAACAGCCTATTGAGATAACAAGGTGTACAGCTGGATGAACACAGCAGGCCAAACAGCATCAGAGGAGCAGGAAGGCTGATGTTTCAGGCCTAGATCTTTCTGAAGAAGGGTCTAGGCCCGAAACGTCAGCCTTCCTGCTCCTCTGATGCTGCTTGGCCTGCTGTGTTCACCCAGCTCTACACTGTTATCTCAGATTCTCCAGAATGTGCAGTTCCTACTATCTCCAACAGCCTATTCCTGTCTTTTATGCCTCTTAACAATGGATTAGAACAGAACTTGTAAATATAATCACAATTTTCTGGCCATAGCAAAAATCACGAAATAAATGAAGAATGAAAATAGGAAACATGCGGGTATGGTATTGAATAGGTTTTAGTTCACTATCATGAAACAGATTTTTCTTGGACTCCTGTTTGGGATACTCGCTATATTACAGATTTCCCCAAAGCAGGAGTAGTTTTCAGCATACAATAGACCAACCTTTGTACAAGTACACACATGGAGAACTGACGTTCTCATAAGTTGTCAATGCAGCTTTTTAAAAAGTATCACAAAATGAGACATTTAATGCCGATACATATACAATATTCATCTTAATTACATATGTTAATGCATCACAATGTCTCTTATTTAGCTAAAGTATCCTCAATAGTCAAAATTTTCCAAGATATAAAAAGGTACGAGTCAACTTTTGACATTTCTGAAGAACAGTCTTGGCCAAGGCTGTTCTGCCACAACTCTTTACTGTACAATCACCATTGACAAAACCGTGATTTTAATAAGATGCACAAATCTGTCATAACATTAACAAACCAAACCTGAACTTTTAATTTAAAAATATCCCCTGTAACCTGGAAGTCATCCAAAATTTTGCACTTTCGTCTTCTGATTTACACCATGTTCATCACCTGTATGACAAGAAGTGACTCCTGGCTAAGCAATGACTCAATTTTAAAATTATCATCCTTAAAATTCTCATCCTTCAGTCTCTTTCCAACTCTGTCATCTCCTCCAGGACCATAACCTTTGTTGTACTCCTCAAATGTGCCCCCAATTTTAACTGTGCCTTCACCTGCCCATATCATCATCTCTGGATTCCTCCCCTAAATATCTCACTTCCACTTCCCTATGCTCCTTCAAAACACAATCATTGAATTTTCCAGTACGGAAAGAGGTCGTTCAACCC